GCTATGGTAGGATTTGATTAGAGCTGGCCCGAGCCGTTGTAGCATTGCATTGAGCTGGATCCAGCTGTAGTAGGATTTCATTCGAGTTGGACTGGTTCCGACTGGGATACAATCTATACGTAGATTACATTAGAGTTAGGTCGAGCCCGATTAAGAAGTTATTGAAGTATGGTTGGATCGAATATTAGTCGGATTCTGCTAGGGTGGAGCCCCCCCTTTGGACAAGGGAAAGACGTGGGGCGGTTCGACCCCCCCCTTTTGGGGGAGGTTGATAGACATCCTACCTTGACAAGTCGATTAGCGAATTGGTCGTTCTCGGTTTGCGAGAGGGCTTCTCGGCCGTCATTTTTGCGGGTCCAGGTCCGTCGGTTTCGGTATTGGGCCGTTTTCACTAAAGGGTGTTTTTTTTAAGGGAGGTTTGTCCACCGCCGAACTTTGGAATATGCTCGTCTGGGCCTTGAACTGTTGTCGTGGGCGTTCGGCGACTGGGCTCGTGGTCTTGACCTGCGTTGTGGTAGACACGGTTTGGCTGTGGGCGTGGCGTGAGCTGGGCGGGCACATGTCGTGGCGCCGCGCCTGAGCGCTGCGGCCACCACTGGCGAGCTGGTGCTGCTTGGCCTGTGCCGTCATGGCCCGATGCCACTGCTCGATGCCCCTCCTGATCCTGCGGAGGACTCCGCGACGTAGGTGCGTGCGGTGGGTGCCAGTGGCGGCTGCAGTGTTTGCGCCTGCTCTTGCTGCTCCTGCTCACCATCCTGGTTTGTGATGCTCCTGCTCTTGCTGACACTTGCGCCGTGGACGTGTGGATCTGGATGCTCTCCTGTTCCTGCTCCTCCGTGCCGCCCGGCTCCCCTCTTCTCACGTCTTGCACGCTGGCCAGTCCGCGCTCCGGTGCCCCCGTCTAACTCCTTCGCTGGTGCAGCCAAGCCTGCCTCGCCGCCGATGGAAAAATTGCTCCTGCTCCTCCGTCCCTCCCGCCTCGCAGCCACCTGGGGCCGAAGGCGGCAGAAGGAGGAGGAGGAGGAGGAGGAGGAGGAGGAGGAGGAGGAGGAGGAGGAGGAGGGAGGGAGGGAGGGAGGGAGGGAGGGAGGGAGGGAGGGAGGAGGAGGAGGACAAGCTAGGTGCGCTCGCGTCATATCTGACGTCCTACCCCTCCCTCCCATCCCTTACCATGGCGCTGATTTTCTCTATCCGCGGACGCGTGTCGTAGCGGACCTGTGGCTCCGCGCGCGCGTGCGTAGTGGGTGGTGGTGCACGTGCGTGCGTGCGTGCGTGTGTGCGTGGTTGTCGTGGTGGTGGTGGTGGTGGTGGTGGTGGTGGTGGTGGTGGTGGTGGTGGTAGTGGTGGTGGTGGTGGTGGTGGTGGTGGTGATGGTGGTGGTGGTGGTGCTGGTGGTGGTGGTGCTGGTGGTGGTGGTGTTGGTACTGGTGCTGGTGCTGGTGCTGGTGGTGGTGGTGGTGGTGGTGGTGGTGGTGGTGGTGGTGGTGGTGGTGGTGGTGGTGGTGGTGGCGGTGCGGCGCGGTGGTGGCGGGCGGATGGGCGCGCGAGAAAAAGGCCCGCGCTGGGGCGAGAACGCCATCCTGAACGACGGAGGCCAAACACCGATCCGAAAATGAGGCCCACGCTGCAGCGGGAGCACGATTCGGAACGATTCGGGAGCAGAAATGAGGCCGGCGCCTCAACGAGAGCAGCATTTTGGGAAAAAATGACGCCGGCGCCTCAGCCAGAGTCGTTTCCCGGGATTTCCCGGGAATCCTGTGTGTAAACAAGCAGTGCGCGGAGGGTGCGCGGCCATCACCCGGACGCCATCAGGGGAAGAAGGGGAGTATTTTCATATTGAGCAATTGAGGAGGAGGAGGAGGAGGAGGAGAGGAGGAGGAGGAGGAGGAGGAGGAGGAGGAGGAGGGGGAGGCGGCGCCTGCGCCCCCACGGCACGGCGCCTGCGCGCGGATGTGGCGCGCGCCGGGCCACGGCTGCTGCCTCGCACGGGGCGGCCGCCCGCGGCAGCCGCCGCGCGGCGCGGCGCGGGGCCGCTGGATGCCGGCGGCGGCCTCGCCGGCGGCGGCCTCGCCGGCGGCGGCCCGCGGCCGCGGGCTGCCGCGTTGGCCTCGCACGCGGCTCGGCACGAAGCACGCGGGTCCGGAGGGGAAACGGTCAGCCACGCGCAGAGGGGGGTGGGGGGAGGGAGCCTTCTTAGGAGCACCCCTGCTTCTTAGAAGGCGCGGGCCTTTTCTATAGGTGTAAGGCCAGCGCCTTCTTAGACGCAGCCTCCTTCTAAGAAGCCCTCCCCCCTCCCTCCACTGGCATCGCTCGGACGTGTGCGCTTTTTCCTCGGCGAGGACCATCGAGGAGCATCCTTAATCATTCGCCGAAAAAACCACGCACGAAACCGAACAAAACACGGGGAATGGACGTCCGAGCTATGGCCAGTTGTGCGCGCCGCCAAGAGGGGCCGCAGGTCCTTTTCGCCGACGTCGGGCCCCCTATGGGCCCCCCACGTCTGGGGGGGCAGGAGCGGCACCACCACGGGGGCCACCTCCAGCGATCAAGCAGTGGCGAAGCGTCCCGGCGTGCCCATAGCCCTATACCAAACAGTGTTCTGAGAACCTTTCTGGTGGTTTCCGCGACATGTTCTTAGATCATCTCTTGCCGAGATTGGCTTGCTTTCTCACATCGGGTCTTAGAACTGGGTTCTGAGCACATTTCGTGGTAGGACTATAGGGATGCCGGGACGGTCGGCCCTTGCTCAAAGCGAGGATGCCCACGAGGCTCCCCCCCGAGCTGGGGGCAGAAGGGGTGGCTCGCCCACGTGTTCCGCCCGCCGGCGGTCCCTGGTGGTGGTGGTCGTGGTGGTTAAGTCGGGCGAGTCCCCCTGCAGGGGGATTTGTCCCTCTGCAGGGGGATCAATAGGAGCTACATAGCCCCCGGCAGGGGGGGCACGCCCGACCTGCAGGTCCAGGGCCGGTCGCCCTCGGGGCCCGCCTGGTCCGTGCCCGCGCGTCGCAGCATGGGAGCGCAGGGCTGCGCCGCCCTGCCCGGCGGCGCGCCCCGGCGGGGGGGGGGGACGCGCGGCGAGAGGGGCGGCCTGTTGGCTCCAGCGCTGTGAAGGTCGACGAGTGTCAGGAGGGGGAAAAACACAGAGACACAATGAATCGTCGCCTCCCAGGAAAGTATGGGACAAGATGGGAAGTGGGGGGAAGACAAAAACCTAGAAAACGTGGGAGAAGATGGGGAATCCTATTATTTGTGTGCATTTATTTGTGTGTCCCAGGGCCCCTTCAGAATGGAGAGGAATCGGGCTGGACGAGACGGGGGGATTGGGAAAGGGGGTGTTACGGAATCTGCTGCATGCAGCTGGTTTCGGCCCCCCCGAGGGGCCCATTCCTCGATGCATAGCCGCCTCTTGCGCCGGGAGGCGCTGGGAAAATCAGCTACGTGAGTTGATTCTCACCCCCCCCTTTGCTATCCCCCCCTTTCGCCCGGCCCGACTAATGGAGAGGAAACATGGTGCCAAATAATTTCCAGATGTCAAAACATGTTTCAAACAGGTTTTCAATATGCTAAAACATGTTCGAAACATGTTTAGAACATATATTACACACTTTGAACACATGTTTACTTTAATGATGGGATTGTCGGGCCTGTCCCCCTACAGGGGGATTTGCGACGAAAAATAAAAATACCATAAAAATACACCAAACAGGTCCAATAATATTCAAAAAATAGTCCCCATATTATTTTTGGATTATGTTTTGATTAATGCTTTATTTTTCTTTGGAAATCCCCCTGTAGGGGGACAGGCCCGACTTAAGCGTTGTGGAAGTCGACTATTGGAGAGGAAGCATGCTGCCAAAAAAATACCAGATGGCAAAACATGTTTCAAACAGGCTAGCCAAGTGTAAAAGACATGCTTGGAGCACGTTTAGAGCATCTATTACACATTTGAAGCACATGCTTAATTCAATAATGGGATTATTAGAGTGTCCGTTGTCATGGCATCCACAACTCCAGTGTTCAGTCGGGCCTGTCCCTCTACAGGTGGAATATTCAGAAATAGTCAACAAGTAGCCTGGGGACGATTTTTGGACTAGTCTCGAGCATTTTGGAGCATTTCTGGGTATTTCTAATTTTCTGTCCAAAATCCCCCTGCAGAGGGGCAGGCCGGACTTGACTCCAGTGGCGGAGGTAGCGCCCGTCTGGAGACGAGCCCACAGGTCAAGCAGTGTCGAAGCGCCCTGGCTTGCCTATAGGCCTACCAGCAATGTTCCAAAAACTTTGTGTGATTTCTGGCGGGGTCTGTCTTGTTTTAGTACATCGGGCGTTCTTGTGCTTAGTACATGTTTGGGTTCTAAGAACATTCCGCGCGTGTCCCCCTACAGGGGGATTTGGGGCGAAACATGAAACATACGAACACTTACCCCCACCAATAAGGAAAAAGAGTCGAAACATCGTCCCCCGACTATTGTTTGGCTATTTTTGATATTCCTCCTGCAGAGGGACAGGCCCGACTTAACTCCAGTGGCTGAGGTCGCGCCCGTCTGGAGCAGAGCCCACGGGGTTGGAGCCCGCGGGGGGTCTGAGGTGGCCCAGCATTGGCTCGTGGTCAGCAGGGGGTGGTAGGTTCGAGGTTCTGGGTTCGGGATTGTTTGTCTGTCTTGGTCTGTTTCGGCTCTGGGCCCGGGTGCAAGCTTCACCTGATGGACCCCGGGAGGGGTCTGGGGCCGATTTTGAAGTGCTTTGGCCTGGCCGAATTTCTGAGGTCCCAATCAGTTCAGACCGCCTGTCTGCCTCCAACCACAGCGGGTCGCCAGCTCGGCCACGGCATCTTCGGTCGTCAAGACGAGAGATGGCCGCCCGCCTCGGAAATGATCATGGTTTTCGCCTGCCGCGGCTTGGGCCGCAGAGCTGCCTTTCTCCAAGGTGGCCTCACGAGAGCGCGGCGATGCCCGCGCGTCGCGGGGCGCGATGCGCGAAGATAGGTGTATCAGGTGTTCAAGCCAGCTCTGCCTCCTGAGAAGATCTGAGGGGGCAGGGCCTTGCTTCCAGGACAGACCACCCCCCTTCGCCGCGGGGTTCCTCCTGGCTCGCCGCTGGTTCTTCTCTCCACGGCCACATGGCTGACGCCGCACGCTTGCTTCTTCTCTGTGGGGTGGAGGGGTCTCTTCTGGGCGGCGATGGGGGCCTCGTCGCCACTGATGGGCTAGCTTTAGCATTCTCGTCGGAACGCACCACAGGATGGGGTCGGACGGAGAGGGGGGTGTATGTGGCAGGGTGCGGTTGCGCATGTCTCGTCTTGTCGAAGACGCCTACGGCGAATCACCACTGCCCCCTGCCCTTTGGACTCGGCCATCTGGCCGAACGTTGTGGTCAAAGCTCTGCAAAGCCATCGGACCATGTGTTCCCCCAGCCGTTGTGGAAACCCTTCGGTGAACACAATCCTTCGGGGAACGCTCAGGGGGGGATGCCGGCTCTTGGCGCCTACTGGGAGCTTCCTGGGGGCCTCTGGGAGGCATCTTGGGGGTCCTCCTTGGGCCTCTTGGGAGCCTTTGGGGGCGTCTTGTGGGGCTCTTTGGCAGTCTTAGGGCGTTCCAGGCCTGTCTGACGCCGTCGGGGGCCGTCTTGGTCGTCTCTTTGAACCGATTCGGAGCCCTCTTGGGGTGCTCCAGGACCGTTTTGGAGTGCGTCTTGGGCGTCTTGGAGTCATCTTGGGCTGGCTTGGGGCCCTCTTGGGGCCGTCTTGGGGACCTCTTGGGCTGTTATGGGGCCGTCTTGTAGGCCTCTTGGGCGATCTTGAGGCGATCTTGGGGGGCTCTTGGTCCATCTCGGGTCGTCAAAAGGGCGAACAGACACAAATTCCCAAATCGCTCACAAATCTACGGAACATCGATGAGTTTTGCCTCTGCACGCCTCCTGTAGAATGACCTTTGGCAAGCCTCTTGGGCCGTCTGGCAGGCCTCTTGGGAGCCCCTGGGGCCGTCTTGAGCCATCTCGGAACCATCTTGGGCTGCCTTGATGGCTTCTTGGGCTGACATGTAAGCATCTTGGACCCTCTTGGGCCGTCTTGAAGGCCATCTTGGACCACATTGTGCTAACTTGGAGCTTATCTTTGGCCATCTGGTTCGTCTTTGATGCCATCGACGCCGTCTTGGAACCAGTTTTGCGGAGCGCCGCGGTCTTCAGGGTGGCCGGCGCGCTGGGCCAAAGGTCAGGGGGAGCCTCGAGAAGAAACAACACAACCTTCAAGAAGTTTAGCACGCCAGGCACCCTTGTGGTAAAACAGGGGGCGGCGGATACTATGGCTAATGACCTTCGGCCCATCCCGCCACCGTGCCTGGGTTGTGGGTCATAGTTCGGCCTCTATGATGTCCGTCGGGATGTCGCGGGAGGCCTCTCGAAGGCCTCGTGGAGACAGTTTTAAGGCATTTTGGAGGCCAGTTTAGGGCCTATTAGGTTTCTTTGGGGCCTCTCTTGGGCCTCTTGGGGCCGTTTGGGGGCCTTTGGGGGCCTCCTGGGTCATCTTGCGACGGAATGCTGGAATTCTCGGTTCGGGCTCACACTCTTGTGCCCATCTTGGTGCCAGCAGTTGGTTGCCCCCCCCACACCCACCCCCCAACCTCCTTCTCACCAGAAGGGTGTTCGTATAGGTAGCTATTGCTCTCTCCCCATCCCAATCCTCCCCTTGTCCCATTCGCTACCCCCTCATGTTCGGGTGCCTGCGGCAAGTTCCGCTAACGTGTCAGCGCACCATTCCATGTGGCTACCCTCTAAGAGCCGCCACGACGGCTATCACATGTGGGATTTCCCGTTCAAGGAGCTCCAGTCAGCCGCGGCGCATCACACGCTTCTCTGCTGGCTCGGAGCTCCAGGCGGCCACATCTCTGATACATAGCTGTCTCCCTCACTGCTCGGAGAGCTGGAACATGGGCCACCTCTCTTCCCCAGATCCCAGAGGGACGTGACAGCGCTTTCCGCGTGGGCAAGGTGGTCGCAACACGTCGTGCGAGGCTTGCTGATTTCATTGAACTTTGCTTGAAGCTGTGGTTGGGGGTCTGTTTGAGCCTCGTGGGACGGGCAGGTGCTTGTCGGGGCATCTAAGAGGTCTCGCGGTTTGACTCGCGGTTTGACTTGCAACGTGTTGGAGCAGCTTGGACGGCCCCCTGGCCGTAATTAGGCCGTACCTGGGCGTTTTTCAAGGCTTGTGGTTCTTTTGGGGGTTCTTTGGCTATTTTGACGCACACTTGCGGTCTTTTGTTTCACCCTGAGGGCCTCTGAGGGGGTCTTCAGAGTCGCCACGGGCCACTTGCGGCTTTCGGGTATCAGAGTTTTGGGGGTGAGATCGAAGTGAAACGGAGCCCCCCTTGCCGGGAAGCCGGTTTCAGTTCCGTGTTTGTGTCCTGCGTGTGGGAGAAGCGAAGCTGTCTGGGCGGGCGAGGGGAATGAACCCTCCTCTGGCTAGGGCGCTGCCGACCCCAGGGTGTCCGGCGGTGGTCTAGGGTATCCCGCCGTGATGTCCCGATGGTGTCCTGTGGTGTCCCGTTGTGTCTCGTGGTGTCTCGTGGTGTCCCGCGGTGTCCCAATCGTGTTCTGATGGTGTCTTGGTGGGGTTCCGCTGGTGCCCTGATGGTGCCCTGATGGTGTCCCGATGGTGCCCCGATGGTGTCACGGTGGGCTCCCGATGGGTTCCCGATGGCGTCCCGATTGTGTCCCGTGGTGCCCCGACGGTGTCCCGATGGTGTCCCGATGGTTTCCTGGTGGTGTCCCGATGGTGCCCTGGTGGTGTACCGATTAGTGTCCCGATCGGTCTCCCGGTGGTGTCCCAGCGGTGTCCCGTTGGTGTCCCGATGGTGTCCCGATGGCGTTCCGATGGTGCCCCGGTCGTGTCCCGATGGTGTCCCGGTGGTGTCCCGAGAAAATCGCGCTCGCGCACCACCAGCATCGTCACCACCATCACACTCATCGCGATTGTCATTGGGCGGTTCCCCCCCCACAACCTCCTCTATCACCCGAAGGGTGGTCCCAGAGGCAGTCGTGACGTGCGCTTGGAGGGGAGCCTGCCTCGCGCTTCGCTCCTGCCGGCAGGCGTTGCCAGGGGCCCCGAACGCCCTTCGAGCAAGACTGGACAGCAGTTGTAATCAAATCGGGCAGCAGGGAGGAACCATCGCATGGCGTCTGGAATTTCTGGGTGGCTCTCAGATGCTTCTGGGAAGAGCCTGTGGACGCCTCGGAGATCATCTGGAGCGCCTTTGGGGCGTCTGCTCGTCTCCTGTGGGCATCGTGCGGGTTCTCGGGGCCCTGGGCCGTTTCCGGTCTTCGAAGCCGTCTTTGGGAGATTGGAGGTCTTGGAGGTCGCTTGGCTGGAGTCGAGGCGCTGGGAGAAGTTCTAGAGTGGGCGAGGGCAGCGGACTGGCGCGGGTTGCACAGGGGTGGCCTTAGAGCGGCCCGGAGATGCAGGCAGGCATTTTGTTGGACACTGCACGGGCAGCCCACCGATTGCAAAAGGAGGCACGGTTCTCAAAACCGCTGGGGAAGTCTTCTGTTTCTGCATGTTAATCAACATGTCAAATCTGTCTGTTTGCTGGCTACCGACCAAAGACGAAACGAAACAGAGGCCCGACAGCGAGGACAAAGTATTCAGGCGCGAGCCAGGAACGGTAGAACAACGAGTGCCACAAAGGGTATTGCCGCATTGTCGAAATGGCTCAGTCATGGTCGGCGGTCGTGGGGTAGCCGACAACGTATTGAACACGCACAGGAAACGTATCAAACACCACGCGGCGAGGCGCAGGCTGGGTCCAGACTTGAATACAAAAAGGAGCCGGTCACCGAACAGAGCTAGACACGGAGCACACGTTGAAAGAACACGGTGGCTCGAGCATTAACAGATTTGAGCAACAGGTGCAGATAAAAGAGGCGGCAAGAGCAGACAGACACGCCCATAGCGTTTGCATTGGTAACGTATCGGAGTTCTGCCTCTTCGTTTGGCGGCTGCCTCGGCGCACCGCGCTCCCGCGCCGGTCCGTCGCGGGGCGCGGCGGGCTGGAGGCGTTGGCACGCTGGCGTGGCCCTCGGCGCCGACAACTGGCATGCCTCCTGGGGCTTCCACGGCTGGTCGGACTGCTACCTTGGGTTCAACGATCCTCCTGGCGAGACGCTCCACAGCACGTTGAGCCTGCTCCGGGCTGGCGCGCTGGACGTGGACGCGTTCGTGAGCGTGGTCGGCTCCTTCGTCGCCCTGCAGCTGCTGGTCGCGCTGACGCCGGCCTCGATCTCCTTCTTCGACATGAACCCGTGTGCCGTGGAGTGGGCCAAGATGTTGTGCGAGCTCGTCTGCATGTCCGAGACGCCGCAGGAATTCACCTCGCGCCTGTTCGCCCGTGACGTGGCCGCCTTCGAGCAGGATCACGGGCAGCTCACAGCCGGCGTGCGGAAGGTCCAGGGTTGGCCCAGGACGGCGTCCAAGGGGCGGCCCGCGATCGAAACGCCTCCGATCTCTCAGGGTTGAACGATCCGCGCGGCGCCAGGAGCCACCGCCGGGGTCGACACGGCGCGGGCGTGTGGTGGCCGCAGCGTTGGCGCACCACCGCGCCGCGCAGCTTGGCGCAGGCGGCGCTCGGAGGCCTTGGGTTCGGCGGCGAGCCCCGAGGGGGGGGAGTTCGATGGCAGATCATGGGAGCGTCGAGTCATATTCAGGAGGGGAAAAAACACACAGACACAATTAATCTTCGATTCCCAGAAAATATGCAAAAATATGGGAAGTGGTGGGGAAGACAAAAACCCAGAAAATATACGAAAATATGGGGAATCTTTTTATTTGTGTGTATTTATTTGTGTGTTCCAGTTCCCCTTCAATATGGCAAATCAAACCAAGTTCGAGGGCGAATCATGGCAGACCCTCTCAATCAGCGTCGATCAGCGTCTGGGCTCGGTGTGCCTTGACTGTTCCACAGCTTGCCTCGGGTTTCCCTGAGGTCTTGCATGGGAGTCGAAGTTCAACTCGTGGGAAAAAGGGGCCTCCTTCCGTACCTGGGGTTCCTTAGGCCAGCGCCCCGACTATACAGAGGCTCCTCGGTCCCAAGTTGGTGGATGCGAGTGGGGGCGGCTAGCCCAAGGGGGACCGCCAACGCAAATTACATGTAATTATCCAGAGGCTCCGATCGGGAAAACGTGAGACTCGAGTATCAGGCGATCGCAATATGGATCAAGGGGGCGTGGATTAGCGACGGGTCCCGTTCCCATTGGAAGTCGCGGATTTCCGCCGCCGAGTGAGGCGGCACCAGCCGCATTTCGGGGGAGGGCACCGCCCCCCATTCAAGGGTTTGGCGACCGCGCGCCAAATCCATGGATCGCTGATCCATGTCTGTGCGACCCCGAGAGTAAGTAGGAACTCGGGCTTGCCAACATTTTTTTGACGAGCGCGTCCTGGATTTTGACGGTCCAGTTTTCCGTGGGATGTTTGCAGCGGGAATTCCCGTCAAATGCCAGATTGGGCCTCGTCATTTTTATGATGGCCCCGTCAGGCCAACCCGAGTTCCCGTACCCGAGCCTGACGTCTCTCCGATCCGATCGCCAACGTCTTCGACGAGGCTCCCCGAGAACAGCCGTGTTCGGTAGCAAGTCATAGGAGCCTGGTATGCCCTCCGAATTCCGTCTTCAGCGTCGGTGGGCGTCGATTAGCGTTTCGGAGTCGACGAGTTAGCGCCGATTTAGCGTCGGCTAGCGTCGATTTAGCGTCGAGCAGCGTCGATTTGACTCGATCAGCGTGAAGCACGCTGCCATGAGTTGCCACCGAAGCCGCGCCGACCAAATCTCAGGCGATCGCAAACATGGATCAAGGGGGCGTATGGCGACGGGCCCCGTTTCCATGGGAAGTCGCGGATCTCCGCCTCCTTACGTCCCCCACTCCATGGGTTTGGCGACCGCGCGCCAAACCCATGGATCGCTAAGCCATGTCTGCGCGCCCGCGAGAACCCCCTCCTGAGCGTGCTGGGGCGCGGAGGCAGCCACGCCTCCCGCGTCGCGGGCTGGGCCAGAGCGGCTGCCATTCTCCAAGGTGGGCTCGCGGGGGCGCGAGGGCGCGCAGAAGGCCTGGCGCCGCGCACCGCGGGCTCACGCGGCGCGCAGCGTGGTGACCCTCTGAGTGCGGCTGCCCCTGGGCCGTCCGCCCGCCGAGCGCGTACCTGAACCAGCAGGCGTTCCTGGCGTCCCCCCTCTCCTGGCGGTGGCGCTGGGACACGGAGCAGCGGCTGACGGCCGAGGCCGTGCGGGTGTATTCGGAAGTGTTGGGCCCCTTCCAGGAGGGCCACAGGCGGCCCGGCTGGAACACGCCCGCGCTGGTGCCGTGCGAGGACTGGAGGGACAACATTAGGCAGGGGTTGGCTCGAGGGTCTACGTAGGGAGGTTCGGGCATTCCGGGCGTTTTCATTGGCCACTGATGGCTTTCGGCCCCAGGGTGCTGTCCAGCAGCTGCGGCTCGCCGAGGGGAGTCCGTGGGTGCCCGGATCGTCACTAACGGCCGCCAGAGTCCCGAGGTATGGCCCGAAAGCCAGACAACGAAGATCACTCGAGGAGGAATTGCTCAGGGGGGATGCATCGAGCCCCAGTCGCCCATGCGTCGCCGACGGGGGTCTGCACGAACACGCTCTTGTGCTATCGAGGTCCGACCGTCCATAACATATATATATATATATATACACATAACTGTATGTATACAGATAGATATGTATATGTGTGTGTGTGTCTGTATACAGCTCGCCGACTCCAGGTCGATGCTTTTGCCCGAGCTGGTCTCCTGGCCTCCCCCCCATCGTGACCCTTTAGGACCGTCGCCGGCTCAAGAACTGCACGCGCACCGGCCTGGGTCCGCAGGGGCGGCTTCCCAGCGACGGGATCGCTTCCTTCCTGTACGGCGAAGGCCTGCTGGCCAGCCGCTGGGCGTTCCAGGAGCGCCGGGGAGGCAAGGGTCGGGCCGAACGAAGGGGGGATAGGGAAAGGGGGGGTTACGAAATCTGCTGCATGCAGCTGGTTTCAGCCCCACCGAGGGGCCCATTCCTCGATACATGGGCGCCTCCTGGCGCCGGGGGGCGCCGGGAAAATTAGCTACGTGATCTGATTCTCAAAACCCCCCTTTGCATCCCCCCCCCTTCGCCCGGCCCGAAGGGGTTGTCCGGGGTTTTCTAAAGGTGTCCCTTGCCCAAGCGTCCCCAGCTTTTCGCGCAGTTCTTGACGCTTCCACCAGCCCATCCAGAAGCAGATCGCCAGACGGGTTGCCTTGATCAGGGAAGCGCAGAAGCGTGCAGTGCAACGGCCGCCTTGGGAGCGTTTTCTCGGAGGTCTCTCAGAGCCAATCTTGGGGCTCTCTTTCTGGGCGACCCAAAAGGGAGTCCAGCTGCAAGGGGGTGGTGCAATATATTTGGGGCAATTGTATTGCAAACGTATTGCGCCGGAGAATTGTATTGCATTGTATTGCAACTAATGTATTGCACGCGAAAATCCAGCAATACATTTGCGCCCCGGAATGTATTGCACGCCCCAAATGTATTGTAACCCTACAAATCTATTGCACCAAACCTATTGCACCACCCCCTTGTCGCTGGACCCCCTGTTAGGTCAACCCGACTCTTGGGCTCCTCGCGGAGCCTCGCCGGGCACCCTTGAGGCCCTATCGACGAATTTTCTTGGGGCCTTCTTGGGGCCCTCTTGGGGCTCGGGGGGGGGGCTTGGACGGCCTCTTGGAGCCATCATGGCCCCCCATGACTCTCAGGAGGGGAAACAAACACACAGACACAATTAATCGTCGATTCCCCAGAAAATATGGGGACATATGGGAAGTGGGGGGGAAGACAAAAACCCAGAAAATATCTGACAATATGGGGAATCTTTTTATTTGCGTGTATGTATTCGTGTGTCCTGGGGCCCCTTCATCTATACAAGGGGCGGGGGGAATTCAGGTTCCCCCCGTGATACTCAAAAATGGTGTCTTGAGGTCTTCTGGGGGCGCTCTTGGGGCGCTCGTAGGACTGTCTTAGGGCTTTCTCTTGAGCCCCCTACTGCCCTCTTAATCCGTCTTGGGGGCATCTTGAGGCCTCAAGAGCCCATCGGAAGCGAAATGGCGAGACGGCACACAACACAGATGTCCCTTATGTTTGGGAGCCATTTGGGTTTCTTGGCGGGGTCCTTGGAGGGTTCGGAGGGCACTTGAAGCCGTGTTGTGATCGTCTCGAGGCCTCTTAGATGTGTGTGGGAGGCTATTTTGAACCATCTCGTGGTATCTCGAGCCATCTTGGAGGCCAGCTTGCGCGCTCAGAGGCCCCCTTGGGGCTATCTTGCGCCATCTTGGACGCTCTAACCCCTCGCGGGGCGCCACTTCCAGGCCCAGGGGATGGGGTATGGGGGAAGGGTCGAGGCTCCTCCGAAACCACAAGCCGTCTCGCTCACTCCCACCCGCCCTCCCAACTCAGAAGCAGCACCCGAGTCTGAGCACATCGCCGAGGAGCGCCGCGCATGCCATGCGCGCCAAGAGTTCGGGAGCAACAGGTACCCTGGAGGCTCAAGCGTGCGAGGCGCGGCAAGTGCGGCACGTGCTTCACGAGCGCCAGGTGCGCCACGGGCTCCAGCCGCGCCGGGTGCGCCACGTGCTCGGCGCGTGCAGTGCGCGCGAGGTGCGCCCTGGCACAGCCGTCACCGGGTGGATTCATTCTGTACTATTTTCCGGCAGGGATGGCTGGCCTGCGCGAATGGGGCCATACGCCGGCAACCCCACCATCCCAGTCAAGAACCAGTGCAGAGTGGTCATGGGGCGCCCGCCGAGGTGTCGCGGGGCGCCCGCGCATGCTCCGGATTGGAAGGCAACGTGCGTCCTGTAGATCTTTGTTGACAGGGATGGTGGGGGGGTGGGGGGGGGGGCATGTCCCGGGTTGGCCCGCAGTACGGTGGGGGAGGGGTTGGCCCACAGTCCGGTGATGATTTCCTCCCCCGAGCAGGGGAAGGAGGGAGTTGCGGCAGAGAGAAGGCAGAGCTCGTTCAACCACCTACGCCCATAGGGCTGGTGGGATCTCTGAGCCCCCTGGGGCCCCCTGGGCCTCGGGAGGGGTGCTCTGGCGGCCGTGGGTGCCTCCTTGGGGATCCGGGGGGGACCTTGGGCCAGAGGCACTCACTTCTGAAGGAGGAGGAGAGGAGGAGGAGGGCGGAGGAGGAGGAGGAGGAGGAGGAGGAGGAGGAGGAGGAGGAGGAGGAGGAGGAGGAGAGGAGGAGGAGGAGGAGGAGGAGGAGGAGGAGGAGGAGGAGTGGAGGACGAGGAGGCGAAGAAAACACGGCATAATCACAAACCTTTGGCGTTCCGCGCGTTTTCGCGCCAGTCAGGGGGGTCAGCGCAGATCCAAGAACTCCGCGAGGGTCTCCAAAAGTTTGTGTTTATGCCGTTGTTGGTCTAATTATATGCTAGCACTTGAGTTTGATGATGAGGATGATGATGAGGATGATGATGATGATGATGATGATGATGATGATGATGATGGTGATGGTGATGAGCATGATGAGCATGATGAGCATGATGAGCATGAGCATGAGCATGAGCATGAGCATGAACATGAGCATGAACATGAGCATGATGATGCTGATGAGCATGATAGTGATGCAGATGCTGACGAGGATGATGATGATGATGATGATGATGATGATGATGATGATGATGAGATTGATGATGCTGCTGATGATGATGCTGATGCTTCTGACGATGTTGATGATGATGAGTTTGATGTGGATGATGATGCTGATGCTGATGCTGATGATGACGATTGTGGTGATGATGATGATGGTGGTGGTGGTGATGATGATGATGCTGCTGATGGTGATGATGATGATCATGATCATGATCATGATCATGATCATGATCATGATGATGATGATGATGATGATGATGATGCTGATGATGCTGATGATGCTGATGATGATGATGATGATGATGGCTGGCTGGCTGGCTGGCTGGCTGGCTGGCTGGCTAGCTGGCTGGCTGGCGCTGGTGGATGGGCTGGCTGGCGCTGGTGGCTGGCTTGGCTGGCTGGCTGGCTGGTGGTGGATGGTGGATGGATGGATGGCATGGTGGGATGGTGATGATGCTGATGGCTGATGCTGATGATGATGATGATGATCATGATGATGATGATGATGATGATGATGATGATGATGATGATGATGATGATGAGGTTGAGGATGAGGATGATGATGATGACGATGATGATGATGATGATGATGATGATGATGATGATGATGATGATGATGATGATGATGATGATGATGATGATGATGATGCTGGTGGTGACGATGCCGCTGACGATGACCAAAACGATTGCGATGCTGCTTATGACGGCCGCGCGGTCTTGCCACAGCTCTCGAGCACCCTGGGGCCCTCACAGGCCCCACAGGGCTGTCAGAAGCAGAGTGGCCCGGGACGGAGAGCTGGTCCCGGGGACAGCGCATCCGGGGCCCGTGCAGCACCCGCTTCCCGCCCGAGCGTTGCGGACTTGGGGGGCGCCAAATGTCAGGAGGGGAGAGACACACAGAGACCTTCCATTATGTCGGGCATGTCCCTCTACAGAAGGAAGATTCGAAGATATGGGGGAACAATAGTCTGGGGACCGTTGTTCTACCATTGTTGATGGTGCTTCTGGGGGCATTTCTGTGCTATCTTTGATTTTTCGTTTAGCATCGGCCTGTAGGGGGACATGCCCGACCTAAACCTTTCATCGTCGACTCCAAGGGGGCGAAGACAGACGTCCAGGAAAGATTGGATCAGTTTGGGAATCCTTGGATTCTTGCCTATTCACTTGTGCGCCCCTGGGTCCCTCTAAAATGGAGGGGGGGTGAAGGATGATACACCTGTTCTACCCAAGGGGGCTCTAGGGGGGGCGCCTGGGGCCCCCAAAAGGACGCGCAAGGTGCACGGGAAAGGTGCGCCCCCCTCCCCCCGCCGTAAGTGTGGCGGCGCGCACAGGAGGGCCAGGGGGAGGGGGCGAGGCTCCTCGGAAGCACCCCTGCGCCTTGGGAGGCGCCGGCCTCGTCTGCAGAGATGCAAGGCCGGCGCCCTCCAAGAGGCAGCCCCCCCCCCCGCCCCCTCCCCGCCGCCCCCCCTGTGCTGTGCGCGCCGCCAGGATCGCCCCCCTTCCCGAGGGAGCAAGGCTCGCTCGGCCCTCGGGGCCACGTTGCGGGCGCCGCGCCGCCAGGAGGCCCGGCGGAAGCTGCAGGCCACGCCCGTGCGGTGGGCCTCGGGGGTGGACTTCCCGCGGGCCGCGGCGGGGGAGCTGCTGCCGAGGCCCCGGGGCAACGCGAGGGGCCGCGGGCGAGCTCTCCCCCCCGGCCCCCCCCCCCCCGGCCTCTCGACGAGAGGCGTGGCCGCTCGGGGCAGGGGGGGGGGGGCCCGGGGATGCGCCCCGAGGGGGCCATGCGGACGCACCCCCTCATCGAGGACGGGCGCCCCCAAATTTCAGGTCTGGGCCCCCAAAATTTCAGGTCCTTCCGAAGACCTGCGAAAGCCTCGGGGAGGAGGAGGAGGGGGAGGAGGAGAAGGAGGGGGAGGAGGGTTAGGAGGAGGAGGAGGAGGAGGAGGAGGAGGAGGAGGAGGAGGAGGAGTAGGGTTAGGAGGAGGAAGGAGGAGTGAGGAGGAGGAGGAGAGGAGGAGGAGGCAGGAGGAGGAGGTGGAGGAGGAGGAGGAGGCAGGAGGAGGAAGCAGGAGGGAGGAGGAGGAGGAGGAGGAGGAGGAGGAGGGGTCGAGAAGAGCCCCTCTCGAGGGAGGACCGGCTCGGGAGGGACGGGAGCTCGGGGGAGAGGTCGACGGGCCGGAGGGGGCCCTGCACGGGCTCGTGCCGATGCCTCCAAGGAGGCATTCGTCGGGGATGGACAGTCCGCCTACCCTGACACGTCGATTAAGGAATTGGCCGTTCTCGGTTCGCGAGAGGGCGCCTCTTTTTATTTCATTACGTCCCTGGCCCCCCCGCTGGGCCGCGCACATGCCGCTGGTCATGATTTGCACCCCCCCCTCTTGGACACCCTCCTCTTGGCCGCTCCCGAGCAGGAGGCATGCTCAGACCTAGGCCGACAATTTCGGGGGTGGACAGGCCTCCTACCCTGACACGTCGATTAAGGAATTGGCCGTTCTCGGTTCGCGAGGGGGCGGCGCGGCCGTCATTTTTGCGGGTCCAGGTCCGTCGGTTTCGGTCCCAGGCCGCTGTCACTAAGGGGAGCTCTACTAAAGGTCTGTCCACCGCCGATCGTGCCGTTTCCTCCAAGGAGGTATGCGATTTCGATGGCGTCTGGTTTCCGTTCGATTCGACCTTCTATATTCGATTTCGATGGCTTCCGACTCGATGTTCGATTTCGATGGCTTCCGATTCCAGCTCGATATTCGATCTCGAAGGAGATTGAGATGCTGGTTTCTTCGCAGATGCCCTGCAGCCTGCCAGTTTCGGGCGATCCGGTTGCCCTCGATGTGGTTGCCCAGTTCTCCTGATCCGATCCATGTCGATAGCCGATCCGACTTCTCGATCCGACTCTGGGCTCGCTTAGATCGGCTTAGGGGGCATAGGCTCATGGGGCGGATCGACAGGCTGGAGACAGCCCTGTCGAACAGCGAAGGCCAGGAGGGGGGGGGGAGGGCAGGACATTGTTATCGTCGAGAGTCAGGGTTGACGTTCGGGGGAGATTGGCCCAGGGGGGGGTGCAGCGACCTCCAATCCCCCATGGATTGCCGATCTGGGCCCGATGGCCCACCCCGCCCGGGAGCGTGCGGAGTCGCTACCGAGGACCTGTTGCCGCTCTGTCGGCGTTGCATCGCGGATTCCCGCTCGATGTTTTCCCCCCTTCAGCCGGCCCCCCCCATTCTCGTTGCCCCTCACGAGGATGGAGCAGCCGAGCCCGACAGTGGTCGTGCACTTAGATGATATTTAAGAACACGCTGGGGGGCGTGTTTGTTCAAGGTCGACTTCTGTGTGATTCAGTGTTTGGGTTCGTTGGTTTTCCGTTTGGGGATCCTCGGCCGCGCTGTTTTCGGTTTTCGTGTTCGTGTTGTACAGTTGTTTCTACGTTTTGGCCTGCCGTGCTTCTTGATTCTGTTTTGTTTGGCCGGAAACCAAAATATTGAAAACAGGAAGACTGGAAATTGGAGCAGGGAGCAGCTAGTCTCGGCGGCGGCGGCGTCGTCGTGGTCGGCGACGGCGGCGGGTGTTGCGGCGGCGGCGTCGTCGTCGTCGCCGTCGTCGTCGTCGGCCTCCTCCTCCTCCTCCTCCTCCTCCTCCTCTTCCTTCCTCCTCCCTCCTCCTCCATCCTCCTCCCTCCTCCTCCTCCTCCTCCTCCTCCTCCTCTTCCTCCTCCCCCTCCTCCCCCTCCTCCCCCTTCTCCTCCTCCTCCTCCTCGGCCGACAATTCCCCCCCGCGTGTGCCACAGCAGCCGAGGTCGTGTACATGATGGGACCAACCCCCAAACCTTAATTGTTCTCCTCCGGCTTCGCCTCGCCCTGGCCGACCGGAGGCGTGCTCGAGTGGGGCGCGGAGCGGAGGGCCACCGGGCGCCTGGTGGTGGTGCTGACGGGTTTTGTGCTTCTTTCTTGATCCCGCCACCACCGCCACAAGTCGGAGGGGGGGAGGAGGTGGAGGAAGGAGAGGAGGCCGAGGAGGAGGGGGAGGACGAAGAGAGGTAGTGAGGAGGAGGAGGAGGAGGCAGGACACGGAGGAGCCGGAGTGAGGAGGTGAGGGACGAAGAAGAGGAGGGAGGAGGGGGAGGGACCCCTCGTGGGGGAGGTGTGAGGACAGGAGGAGGAGGAGGAGGGAGGAGGAGGAGTAGGAGGAGGAGGAGGACGGAGAAGGTAGGAGGAGGAGGACCCCCTCGTGGGGGGAGGGAGGTGGAGGAGAGGAGGAGGAAGAGGAGGACGAAGAAGAGGAGGACGACGAAGAGGAGGAGGAGGACTCCCTCGAGGGGGGAGGGAGGTGGAGGACAGGAGGAGGAGGAGGAGGAGGAGGAGGAGGACCCCCTTGTGGGGTGAGGGAGGTGGAGGACAGGAGGAGGAGGAGGAGGAGGAGGAGGAGGAGGATGAGGACGAAGAAGAGGAGGAGGAGAAGGAGGAGGTGGAGGAGGACGAAGAAGAGGAGGAGGAGGAGGAGAGGGGGACCCCCTCGAGGGGGGAGGGAGGCGGAGGACAGGAGGAGGAGGAGGAGCGCGAGGAAGGGGAGGAAGAGGAGGAGGGCCCCCTCCCCCTCCTGAGCAAGTGCTCGTGGTGGTGGCGGTGGAGAACGAGCCCGCGAGGTGCAGTCGATCACGGCCGCGAGGGGGG